GGAATTAGAACTGGCAGAGAAGGCCAAGCTGGAAGGGGTCGGAAAGATGGGAGTTAAACAGCAGAGAGCTATGATTCTGACACGTGAAGACCACACAGGGGCCTCAATGAAGTGTTGTTAGAAATTAGGAGGACAACGCTTTCCTCATGAGAGTTAGATTTTAAATTCAACTCAGAACAGATCAGAGAAGAGGCATACGAAGTAAGCTAAAGCAAGCAGAATGGCTCTTCCTTCTGGTAACTCTGTCAGGAACGGATGATACTGTTTCGAGAAAAGGTAAGTATAACATCAACATAAAGTAAGTATAGCATCGGATGATTCAGAGAGGCTGAGGGAGGGAGGGGTAGTGAGCCTTGGCTGGAGATGGCAGTGTGGACTCGGGCGGGCTTAGGGAACACAGCTTCCCTGGAATGACAGAGACAGAAACCAGTCTGCAGTGCGCTAAGGAACAACTAGGAAGCAGTGAAGGGCAGAGGCTGAGAGAGAAGAGAGAAAAGTAGATGGCGGGCTGGCAAGGTCTGAGGAAATGTGTTTCTATGTGTTGATTGGAGAGATTCTAGGAGCCAGCCTTGTAGCGTAGTGGTTAAGTTCGCATGCTCAGCTTCAGTGGGCTCGGATCCTGGGCACGTACCTACACACTGCTCATCAAGCCATGCTGTGGTGGCGTCCCACCTGCAAAATAGAGGAGGACTGGCATAGATGTTAGCTCAGGGCCAATCTTCCTCACCAAAAAATGAATAAGTAAACTGGAGAGATTCTAGCATGTTTATAAACGGAGGGGAAAGAGCTACAAGAAGGAGAGGACTGAGGGATCCAGACACTGCAGAAGCTGGAGGAAATGCATCAGGGACGTGCTTTCTGATGTTTTCAGCAATGGCACTGTCATCAGAATGAAGGCCTTGCAGCCAAAGTGACTAAGTTGGTGTACTTTTGTTAAAAATATCAATCGTATCACTTTATAGGCACATTTTCACGGTGATTTTTTTGACCATTCATGGAAATGTGCAATTAGTTTATGGGCTTTAGAAATGGATTAATAACTTTTAAATGAGAAAATATTATTTGGCTGTTAAAATGGAATGTTCTTTTGTTTGACCATTAGGGATAGACAAACTATCAGATAAGAGAGAAATCAGGATGATGAATTCTTATATTTATTGAATTAATTTCAATATGAAATACGGATGTATCTCGATAGTTTTCTGCCCTCCCATTTTGGTTCAAAGAGCAAAGTGTTACTTGGTGATTGTTCTTGAGGTAATAGGGTTCCTTCGAAAGTCAAGGGTTCTTCAAACACTCATCCATTCAACAAGCAGGGAGCATCTGCTGTGCCCCGGGCACGGCGTTGGGCATTGCAGACACGGCTGTGGGAAGAAGCCTTCAGTCCTTGTTCTGGTGTGCTCACAGTCCATAGGGGCCACAAGAAAGCCAACAGGCCATCCTGGATGGGGGAACCCAGGGCTTTAGGAGGTGGCAGAAGAGCCACCCAGTGGACCCTGGATGCACTTGGCAGTGAGTGAACACAGCAGGAGGGGTTCTTTGATGAACTGATGGGGGGTCAGCACAGGTGTGAATAATGGAAGGATTTCTGCAGAAGACGGGAGGCTGGGGTGGTGAGGAAGGGAAGGGGGGACAAGCAGAGGCTCTTGGCGCTTGGTTCGAGGAGGAGTTAGATGGGGAATTTAGGGAACGCCACGTCATTCAGTATGGCTGAAACACTTAGCGCAGGAGGAAGGAGAACAAACGTGGCCAGAGACGAGGCTGAGTGGAGCCCCGCTCTAAAGGGTCTTGTGCGGTGCGGGGTTTGGGCCTTGTCTTAGACCCGCAGGAAGACACGGAGGGTGTCAGGCAGGGGAGCAGAGAGCAACACGATTTACATTTTACAAAGACGACTTACTCAGGTTGTAGTGTGGAGACAGATGGAAATGGGACAAGAGAAGGGACAGAAAGACCAGGAGAGAGATGCTGGAGGCCTGATGGAAGGCAGTGACCCTGGCAAGAGGGGGAGAAAAAAGACACGGTGTCAGCTAGGAGGTGGGACAAAATTGGTGAATTAGTGGTGAGTGGAGAGGGCCGACATGCAGGTTCCCGGCTGGTGAAGTGACTGGATGGTGGTGCCACCCAGCAGCATGGGGCAGGTCCCAGGAGAAACAATTCTGATCGGGAAGAAGCCGCCTCCGTCAGCGCCTTTCTGTTTCAGATTGGCAAGCCAAGTTCAGGGGAAGCACAGATGCTTTGGGGGTGTTCTTAAGCCCATCATTTGGACTCAATGGCCCCTACACACGTAAACGGTGCTTTCAGTAAGTTTCAAGCAAAGCAAAAGGAAGATATTCACCTGTGGGAGCTGAGAAAAGGCAGCAACGTGCGCAGCATCATGAACCTGGGCGCCCGCAAGGCTAGTGATCATAAACATCCCACTTTTCATGTAACAGACTTTCCATTCCCCTCCCCCACACCAGGCATCTGCGCACACAAATCAAAAGCCTCTTAAGTCATGGAATGAAAAAATGAAAAAAATAAAAGCAAAAAGTACTTCCTGTGGGGGGCAATGGAAATTTTTGCCCAGTTTATTTTCCAGGCCCGTGAAAAGCTGTTCTGAATATTTAAAACCACAAGTAATGGTACTCTTAGCTGAGATTGTGAGAAGAGGAGGCAGGGAAGGAGCTCATTCAGGGTCTTTCACACGAGGCACGATTTGCATGGGAGCGAGGCCTGCTCAGCTTGAAGATCAGTTACCACCGAACGTCGTTCAAACAGAGAAGTGTGGGGCTTGGGGAAAAGCAGACGGATTCATATCAAATAACAACACACAACCCAACCATAGCTTGTGTAACTTTTCTTCCCTTGGGGTAGAAACGGGGCACCAAATTTTGTTAGGAAATCTCTTTTGCATTCAGATATTTTGGAACTTCATCTAGGACCTAAGTCAGCTTCTTTCACCAAAATATGAGGCCAAAAAAATTGTGTTACCAGTAATTTCTGGACAGATAAATGAAGACTAGAAAGTGTGGTCATTGAGAGTGTGGAATTCAGAGTCTCGTCATCTGGGTCTGACCTGCCTCCATCACTTTGCAGCGGTGTGATCCTGGGCTCCTTACTTCGTCTCTCTGACTCTCGGTTTCCTCATCTGTGGAACGGGAATAATAATGGGATCTACCTCCTAGAGTAGCTGTGACAGCTGAGTCAGATCACCCTTGTGAAGCCCAGGGTCTGGCACAGAGCATGTACTCAGTAAATGCTCATTATCAGGGTCCTGCCCTCTTTTCCTTTGCAGAACTGCGGCCACCTCTACGACTCGTGGCAACTTTTATCAAGGAGGTGAAAGCTCTCCATGCTGAGTTCCCGAGCTAGGTCACAACCAGATCCGAGAAAGGCAGTTATCCTCCACTGCCTGCCTGTCTCTTCGATGGAAGAGGACTCCAGGACGACGTCAGTAGGTCTAGAGGCGTCTCCTCCGGAAGCATCAGGGGGCCCAGTGGAAGGGAGAGTGAGGAAACTGGGGTTGCAGCTTCCCAGGGATCCTGACAGCCCGGTCTGTACTGCTCAAGCTAGCTCCATACCTCTGATAGCCTCTTTCCCACCCACTCCTGAGGCCCAGGCGCCCTGACAGGAAACTGGGGAAGCCTCAGCTGCTGGGGGAGCTGTGCAGGACCAGCCACCGACCTGCCTTTGGACCCTGTGGCTCTGACCCTGAAGTCCTGATTGCTGTTCTGTAGCCCCAAACCTGGATGCTGCTCAGAGCCTGGACATTTTAGACCGACACCTTGGTGGTCCTGCCCAGCCAATTTCAGCTTTTCACCTGGATGTCACCTCTATGGGCTGAGAGTTGGTCCTGCCCTGTCATTCCCCAGGAACCCAGCCTGGATCCAGCATCCTGGAAGCTGGGTCAGACCTCCGGATGGAAGGCTCAGGAGGCCTTGGCATAAATGGTTCCACTTGCTTGGTTAAGAGTGAGGACCGTGGAGTAGGGCTCTCCAAATCTTGGTGCCGCCACTTACTAATGAAATGACTTGGGCCAGGTACTTTCCACTCTGTGCCTCAGTTTTCCTCATCTGTAAAATGGGGAGATTAGTAGTCCTCATCTCATAGGGTGGTCAAGAGGATTAAATGAATTAATACACGTATAAAGCATAGTATAAATCTATATACACAAATAACCCACTTAAATACATGTGAAACAATATAAATGTAATTAGTATTAGTTACATTTATATTATATTTTGTACATGTTAAATAAATTATATATCATTTTACACAATTTTATACATAAATTAACATGTATTATTTCATATAAAACATTTGTGTACATATAAAGGTAATTATTTATATTATGATTACTGTTGTGATTGTCTGCTCTCTCTCCCGCAGGGAATCAGCGAACTTGGGCAGGCCTTTCGACTTTCTTGCTTTTATCTGAGGCTGTAGGTGCAGAATCTCTGGTTTCTACAGACCCTGCTGTAATGTGCAGAGCAGGGTCTAGGTTAGATTAAAACTGACTCCATCATTTGGAAAGTTGTAATCTGCAATGAAGGCCACGTAAATACTATTTCTCAGATTCCTGTGGCCCTCCTCTTTCAGATATCTTCATTTCAATTTCTGTAATAATTTCATTTATTTCTTATCATATTTCAAAGCCTTTCTATCTCTGGAGCAAACAGCATAAGATAAAAATGTGTCAAATAGGTGTTATTCATGCTGTGGCTATTTTTAGGTGCTGCGATCTCCAATAACTGTTGAGTCAGAGAAGGAGGGTGGTTCTGAAAAGAAGAGGCATTGTCCCTCTCACTTGTTTTGTTGGAACCAGAATGAGGGTAAAGTTTTTCTCCGTTTTCAAAATCGTCAGCAATCCATGGATTAAGCTTAACTCCCATGAGCAATAATGCCTCCAGAGAGCGGGCAACATCAATTAGGAGACGTCTCCTTGACTTGATGGTAAGTGTGACACTACGTCAACCCCCACAAACCCACTTCCTTTCTGGCAAATAGAAAACAACCGAGAGCATGAATCTGCTGTCAGCTTTGAGCACTGGAGGAGAGGGCTGTGTTTGTTTCTGGTAAACATGAAGTCAAACCTCTGCTATTTCTTTCTCTTCTGCTTCCAAGTTGAAGCTCTCACAGGTAAGTGGCCTATTCAATATCTCTTATTAAGTTCTAATTCAAGGGAACATTAGGAAAAATCAAAAGTAGAAAAATTAGGCATCAAATAGAATTTTTTCTTTGTTGGAAGTAGGAACAATTACAGAAGAGCCCAAGCAGCATGGCTAAGGGCGTTTGTCGCCCATGTCACTGTTGATGGCATCGAGTTTGCGTTGCTGCCTTTGATTCTGTGTTTTAAGAAGAAGAAAATGTTTCATCAAACCATTAAAATTTTAAATTACCAGCTGGGAGTCACCTTTAGTGGATGAAGTAGAAGCGTGGCTTGCTGTTCGCGGAGAAAGAGGACTCGTGTCAACAGAATGAAAATTAAATAGTCCTGGCATTTGGGCTGGGAATTCTTTCCGAAGGAGAAAATAAAACAGAAGGGCTTTGAAAAGACAGATTTTGATTTTAATCTTCTCTGGGTGGTCTGTTGTCAGAAGTGCCTGGGCTGCCACAGAGTTTTTTCAACACCAGTGGGTGATGTTAAAATACTCCCTAGGCCCCTACGGATGTTAAAAAAAATATTCTGAAGTCCTGGATTGTCTCTCAGATGGTATAGATCGGGCTCTATTTGAACAATTTCCATAAGGCCACCTACAACCAAATTAATATACATGCTTCTGTTGCTTCTTACTTGGTACATTTTCGTATTACTTTCATTTTATCTTTTACTCTGAGCCATGTTCTTGAGGCTGAGAAAAATGAATTTAAATTATATTTAATTGGTAAGTTCTTTTAACACTAAAAGTGAATGATCTTATCTTGAGATAAATTTTGCAGTGGTACAAAGAAATAGACTTTATTTTTCTCTCCAAAGAAATAAAAAACAAAAGCAGATTGCTCAGATGTTTGATCTTGTGGTGGCTCCAGGTGGCTCAGATGCTCTTAAGTAAAGACGAATGAGGAGTAAGTGTCTGCTTTTAATAAGGCCCAAGGGCAGTTCCGGGCTACTTCATTGTTTAACTGGGCCTTTTCTACAACCCAGTGAAGGCCTTTAGCAGCATGAACAACAAATGACTAGTGTCAGAATTCGTATTCATTCATTCATTCACTTCTCCGTTCCTTCATGCAGCACCAAGCACTCGCCGGGCAGGAGGCACTGAGGTAGCCGCTGCAGGTACACTGATGAGCAAAATCAGGCCAGTCCCTGCTCTCACGAAGCTAACAGAATGATTAATCAACCAATCCCATGAATTAATAGTAATTACGGGCAGAACTCAGTTCTTTGAGAGGATGCCACAAAGAAGCCTGTTAGACTGGTGGGTGTGGAGGTGGGGTTGGGGAGCAGGGCTCATTGAAGTCTTTCCTGTCAAAGCGGTACTTGAGCTGAGATTTGAAGAACAAGTAGGAGTGGATGGGGAGAAGGGCGTGAGGGAGGGAAGAACATTCCATACCACGAGAAGAGTAAGCGCCTGTGGCAGGAGGGAATGAAGGAAGGTCAGGGAACTTCGAGAAAGAGGATGTGCCTGAGCACAGAGAGGGAGGGGTTGGGGATGGCGCAAGATGAGGTTGGAAAGAAATGCAGAGGCCAGAGCAATCAGACTGTGTGGGCTGTGTGAAGGCTTTGGATTTTCTTCCAAACACATTGGTACAAGCCATTGAAGGATTTGTCTGTACTGCTAAAAGTCATCCTGACGTGCCAAAGCCATGAGAACGCTGGTGGCGGCGATATTGCGCCCGGGAGATCTGAATTAGCACAGCTGTTATTTCCGAGGAAGGATGGATCCAGCCTAGGTTGAATCATTTCAAGTCACCAGACTAAGCTGATGAATAAATTGTGCTTCTGGAATGATATTCGTCTTAGATTCTAATGGAATAAAACCAGTGTTCACTCTCATCACACGGAAAACCGTGACAGGCTGTTTTCCAGTTGACAGGTGGCATAGTTGAGGCACGAATGGCTAAACATTGACGGTAAATACACTAACAATCTTCAAATGAAAAATATCTTTGCCAGGCATTTATCCAGCAACTACCGTTTTTAAAAGCTCTAAACACAAGGTAAACTGAGCACTTGCTTATTTCTAATCCTGCCGACTGTGTAGCCTTTCTCATCCCACAGAAAGGCAGGCATTGTCACCTTCAGTTAATGTTTGAAGGATCTCAGACCAGGGAAGGCTAAGTGATTTGTTGCATAATTCATGGCAGAACCAGGATTAGAACTCAAATGTGCCTGACTCCAATATCTACCTTCTTTCTACACCGTGGTGGCGTGGCACAGATGAAACGTAAATCTCAAAAGACAGAAATTCTGACCAGTTTTGTTACTTGGCTGGTGAGTTGAGGTTGGAAATCATGGTGATCCTCAGTCTTCTCTTGATCTCAATGTAAAGTTTAACAAAGCTGCCTTCTTTTAATGACTCTGGAACAATAGGAGGCTCCTCATTGTGAAAGAACCTGGGGAAAATGTGAACCTCTCATTGCATTTAGAAGAAGCTCTTTCTCGACCTTATGGTCCATGGGGACCATGCGGTGACCTGATAAATTCTTGTTTTAGAATGACCGCTTTGAAAGCAGTGGAGTGGGAATGATGGACGTCAGATGGTGCTTAATAAATGTGCATGTCTCCTGATGTGTTCTGGGAGGAAGCTGGGAGGACAACCTTCAGGCTCATTTTGAGCCATGCTTTTGTCACCAAGGCACCAAAGCAGGGATTCCTGAATTCCGCCACCTCAGGAAAAACAGCCTTTGGTGTCTCCAGTACTGGTCCCTCCCCAGAGCTCAGAGAGGAGTCTGTGGGGCTTGCTGACCTTTGACCCCTCCCAGTACCCCCTTCTAGTATTCAACTGGATTTAAACAAATCCAAATTGTCAATCTTTTCTTTTGGTAGAGGAATTTAGGTCATTCTCACTCAGCATGGTAAGCCTTATTGATTTTATCCCTTCAATATGATGTTTACTTCTATTTATTTTCCTCTGTTGTAGTATCCTCTTTTTTCTCTTTTATGTTTGTTGGTATGATGAAGTTTCTGTTAACTCCCCTCTTTCCCTCCGTAATTTAGAAGGTTGACCACACTTCTTAATTGACTAAGTCATTATCACGTTCAGAGCATCTTAACAGAATGTCTATTTATTTATTATTGTATTAAAATGAATAATGACAATGCCCTTGCCTGATGCCTACGCCCCTCCCTTTGACATGAGGACGTAGGAATGTTCTTTCCTTCCTTCTCCCGTGCTGGCCCGTTAGCACATCCCTGCCCCACACGAGGGTTTTGTTAAAATAACTGAAAACCTTTAGTCATTGCTAGATTTCCTTTTACAGTATTTCTCTCCTGTTTCAAGGATTCTTCACATTTACTTCACCTGTTTTCAGCATGCTTCTTGCCATCTGTTCCTGTCTTGTGATCTCTGTTCTGATCCAATGATCAGATTTCCATTATTTTCTTCAGAGACCCCAAACTCTCTGAATCCCAGCATGAGTAAAGACGTCTTGCTTTCACTGATGGGAGACTGATACCTTTTCTGGGGATAGGATCCTGGAGTGTTGGCTGTTCTCTGAATAGTCTGTGGGTCTTCACTCATCGTCTGCTTGCCTCTAGGATTACAGAGGATGAGCTCTGTGCTAGTCTGATTCTCATTCCTTTGTAAGTAACTTAAATTCTCTAGAATCTTGTAGGCTATTCATTTCAATCTGGGGATTCAGGAATTCCAACAGGGTTGGCCTGGTTCTGTGAGTGTTTCCACGGGCATTGCTTGGGGCTGAGTAAGACCTTCCAATCTGCTGCCCTAAGTGGGGTTTTGTTGTTGTTTTTTAAATATCAGGGATAGTTTTCTCCCAGTAGTTTAATTAATTATATCTTTTTCTTTGTCTTTTTTCCTTTTTTCTAGAAATGTCTATTATTCCTATGTAAAATCTTAAATCACTTGTTCTTTCATCATTAGTGAACAAAATGGCTTTCATAACTTGCCACTGCTATCAACAACTCCCTCAGATGAAATGGAATATCATAGTTTGTAAATTACTAACAGCATTTCCCATTTCTTGGTAGAAACAGAATGTAGGTGCATAGGGAGGCCCTTAATTCTCATCCTAACTTTGCTCACTGTAAGATCCATGGACTTATTTGACCTAAAAAAATTGGCCTCAGTAGTCACAGTTGTAAACTGAGCAAAACCCCCAATTTATGCAACCTCCTTATCCCAAGTATATGAATTTGTATGGAAAAAGATTTATTGGACTTTGTGAATTTAAAAAAATATTTAAAAAACCATTTGTAGCCTTGAATACCCCCCCCCACCAAAGACTACCTTTGCTCCATAAATGGCATCTCTGTGCCACTGCTGTTATAATAAATTGGGTCTATCAAATAGTTATTTTTGGTCATTGTAAGTAAAAGAAGAATTTCGGCATTTGAAACCTTTTTATAAAAATTCAAAATTATATTTTGGAAAGTGGAACTGAAGTATGTAGAGAATATGGAATACAAATGAAAGCTATTAGTTAAAAATTTTTTTTTCACTGGTTTGGCCTGGAAGATTGATCAGAACAGACCAAGATTTGTAAGATTAAAGAGAGTCAGAAATTGAGGGGGTGAACCTCCCCTGGGTCGTGCACAGCATACTCAGGCCTGTGTCTGCTTGTCTTGAGGAAAAGCTAAGAAGAAACAGGTTGTCCTTAAGGAGGGTGACAGACTCAGAGAGTTTTGATTCAGTCAACCACTGGTTCCGAGAGAATCTTCTGTTTGTCTGAGTCATGTTGACATAGATGTGGCACTTTCAACAAGCAATTAAAGATCATTTAAATGTAACTTTTTGAGTTTGAGAAATCGAACTTTTTGTAGACATCGTTTATATCCTCCTCCAGCCCAGCATCAAAAAAATCCATTCACGAACGACAGCAACAACAAATACAACCTCTCCTGCGCTCACAGTTAGAGTTCTGTTCATTTCGTCCTGTCTAGATCCAAAGCAAAAACCTCATCCAGCTCCTGTTTGTACTTATTTATGTATGATGAAAGTTTCATGTGTATGTGAATCCATATTTTTACATTTCTAAAGGCAGGTAAGTTACAGAATAATCATTAAGAATTTAGACCTTGTTGGAGCAAGGACCCCACTGTGTTGCAGGTGCTGATACACAGGGCAGCTCAACACACAGTGGTTGATGGACGAGGATGTTGAGGGAAATCGGTGTGTTAAGCACAATGTATTGTCATATCTAAGAAATTATTTGATATATTTTTTGATGTATGATAACTCTTTCAATCACAGAATACATATATGGCATGAATGTGAGTACTACTTTAAGTATTTGGGATAATTATATACCCAGTACATCTTGAAGGAAAAGAAATATCCACAAATAACTTCCAAATCCAGCTTAACGTACTAAGAGGCTTTTAAACAGTGTGGACTCTGGTCTCAGGTTGTCTAAGTTCAAATTATGGCTCCACCACATATTGGCTGTATAACCTTGGGCCAGTTATTCAAGTCTCAGTTTCCTCACCTGTAAAACAGGGCTAAAAATAAGAAATGTGGCTTAAAAGGCAGTTATAGACATCAAATGAGATATTGCATGTAATGCATTTAACACAGCACTCAAAACATAAGAAACACTCAATGCTTGTAATTACAATGCTTGTGGTTGTTATTATTACTTTTTTGGAAGCTTTTGAAAGCTTAGATGTTTACATAGCTTCCAGAGCTATGGGGCTTCAGAGAATTGGCTGAACGTCACTCAGTTTGAGAATTTGCCTTCGGACTGCGAAGCAAGTGTTCTCCAACATTCAGTAAGCAGGCTCTCTTGCTCTGCTTTTCTTGCTCCTTTCCTCAGTGCATTGCAGGACATGGACCAACCATGCTCAGCCCCCAAATTCTTCTACACATTCATTTATTTAATATTATTGAGCTTCTAACATGTTCTAGGTCCTGGGATTATTTAGGTGACCATGTAGTCCTTATCCTTGTGAAGTTCACAGTTAAGTGAGAAAGATAGACAAAAATAATAGTGATCTAAGCTTTCATAATGCATTATAAATATACTGATGTAAGCAAAGTATTATTGAGAACATAGAGATAGGAGTCTTTGTCTAGGGGCCTCAGGGACTAATTTAAAATGATTCTTAAAGAATGAATGGGGGTTTCTAGGCAGATAAAGGAGTAATTGGATATCCTA